CTTGTTTCCGTTTCATTCTCGTTGGTGTCGCATCGGTGTGCATGAAAGCTGCGAGAAGCATGGCCGTAGATCATCGTCGCTTCGCGCGAGTTCGAGGGTCCCTTCGTCGATCCTCGAATCGCTGTTTTCGTCCCCCGACGCGTCCCGTTCCGGTGTGCATTGTCTAACGGCAAGCTGCACGCGCTGCTAACATCCGAAACCTGTCTTTCACGCATGCCCGGTGAATGGTTTTCGTTCGGCACGTTCCCGTTCAAGAGTTGTTTCCGCATGTCGCTCGTCCTGGAAGCTTCGCTGCTCCTCCCTTTGATCTCCTCTTTGAAATTGGCTTCGCCGCTTCTCCTTCTTTTCGCGTCGGGTGGCGCGGGGAGGATGGGGGCGGGGGCGAGTCCATTCGATCCACGGGAATCGCGCGAGCCTCGCGCCGGATATTGCCGAGCGAGCAAGGGACACGCGAAATTTTAAGTCAGCCGCGTTGAAGACCGACCGAGGTCCAGCGAACGAGACTTCGTTCTGTGATCTGTGCAATGTTTGCTCTAAAGTAGAATGGTTGGGGAAGAATGATGTGTAATTTGGATTCGAAAGGATCGAGCGATGTATGCGTTCGTTATATTTCGCTCGAATCTTTCGTCGCGTGTTTCAGCACGATGTTATAAGGGAAGGGGTTGATGTTCGCGATATCCAGCGCGTACAAACGAAATTCACTGTGGCCTTTCGTTGCTCGCAGAACGGGACGTTCGGAGAGTGTTGCCGAAGAAACGCTAGCCGAGATTTCCGTGGATAAAATGTTCCCGCCCTGTTATTCCCTCGATTCTCCGAGCGGTTTCACGCATGCGAGACCGTTTCCTTTGCGTGGGATTCCATTTAATCGATGGTTTTGTTGGAAAAGTGTCCCCGGGCGGCAATGACGCGACGTGGGTCACTTGGAAAATGGCGTTGACGATAGCGATGCCGATATGCGCGATCTGCGTGATCGTCATGGTCATCTATCACATCCACATGACCAAGAGGAGACCGCCCGGACATTTCCCGGACGACTCGATGGAGGCGCCGGACCGGCCCATCCTCGGCGCGGTCACCATTAGGGACATGCTGGAGATGACGACCAGCGGCAGTGGTTCAGGTAGGTCGAAATAAAGTTCCCCAATTGCTCAGTTCTGTCGCACTTTCAGTGGCGTAGTAACTTAGGGCTACGGTTGCTGATTATCATGATACAAAGTCGTAAATTAAACTTCTAAGGTAGACTCTTAACTCTCCTAAACTCCTAAACTCTTTAGGGTTGGTAGCAAATGATGTTGCAGGACCTAAGATCTTATCAAAGGTGACTTTTATAGTTCCCAGTCCTAAGAAAATCACATTTCCAATTGACCCTTTGGCCTATACTTTAGCAAGATACCCAGATACCCTATTAAACAGTTGAGAATTCAACTTTTAAGATAGACCAAACTCTAGGATTGGTAGCAAACGATGTTGCAGGGTCTAAGATCTTATCAAAGGTGACTTTTATAGTTCCTAGTCCTAAGATCATATTTCCTATTGACCCATTGACCTATATCTTAGCAAGATACCCTTTTGGTTACCTATTAAACAATTGACATTAGAGTCAGTTCAAACAGGACAAGCTTATTACCAAGAAACGCAGACTTCTTGATACCTCGGTATAAGGATAAAGACATTCGATGTAACATATTCACTTGATTGTTTGATTATTTATAGCAGAAACGTAAATTATACTGTAGACATCCCCAAGTAACACGAGTAGCATGCCCTAGGCGAAATCGCTTTCAGCGTCGGGGAACATTAGTTTTACGGACACCGAGAGTCGTCTTCAATCATACTGAAATTCGTGTTCTTCAATGCCCATCCTCTCCCAAGTAGGTCTGCCGCTTCTGGTACAGCGGAGTATAGCCCGCCAGATCCAGCTCGTGGAAACGATCGGAAAGGGTCGCTTCGGCGAGGTCTGGCGTGGTCGTTGGAGGGGCGAGAATGTCGCTGTCAAGATTTTCAGCTCGCGCGAGGAGAGGTCCTGGTTCAGGGAGGCCGAAATTTACCAGACGGTGATGCTGAGGCACGATAACATCCTTGGGTTTATCGCTGCTGATAATAAAGGTACGAGACACAGCTCGATAATAGAGTCTTTATACCTCGGCTAACATTAAGACTATCGGATGGTTCACAACGACCCACTTTCGATCTATTCTTTCGCAGTTACTGAAAATATACGGATGCTTCTCGGAGAAACTACCGAGGAAGTTGGTTTTGGAATACGCGAACTGAAACATTAGTCGAGATCTCAGTTTTGACCGTGGTCACGAACCCTATTAACCCTTTGCACTCGAGAGGTGACTCTCAGTCACCATTTCATTTGATATGGCAAAGTTCTCGATGTTTAACATTAAGTTTTGCATAATGCATCGATGTGTTAAATATTGAATAAAATATCTTCGTTTCTCAGTTTATGCGTCATTTCTCGATAAGTTAGTCTCAAAAATGTTGTGTACTTCTTATGAGAAAACGTTGGACATTTCTAGTGAAAAGCTTTCGAATGCAAAAGGTTAACCCTTTGAACTCTGAGTTTCTTTTGCAGTTTTTCCTCGACAACCCTGTATTATTACGATATTTTATTTGAAATGCACTTTAAAAAATAGATAGTTTATAAAGAGCAGTGTAAACGATTCTTCTTACTAATGATATTGACAATAATACAATAATATAATCTATTTCAACACGTTGACTGCCACGAGAAACATCAGCGGTTTATGTGTCACTTATCCTTTCTATAGCAAGGATGCAAAGCAAGGATTATTAATTCTTCCATATGAAAATTCTTATATTACTCTATTATCTAGTTACTTGCGTTACGGAAATTTTGTATAAAATCAATTATCTTCCAAGTCATAATTATTTCCTTGCGATTTGAAAGCTCCGGTCATCGGTGGCGTAGCAGTCAAAGTGTTAAAAGTATCTCGACAAAGGAGCACATCTTTGAATAAAACTGATGTCGCGTCGAAGGGTTAAAATCGGTTCGCGGCTGGGTTACGGGCCGCGAAAGATCGAGATCCCGGGAATGAGTTCGATCGGTTTCTCCCTTGATTTTCAGATAACGGCACGTGGACTCAGTTGTGGTTGATCACGGATTACCACGAGAAGGGCTCGCTGTTCGATTATCTGAACAGATCGACCGTGGACACGAACGGCATGATCAGGATGGCGTTGTCGATCGCCACCGGGCTGGCGCATCTTCACATGGAGATCGTCGGCACGCAGGGGAAACCGGCGATCGCCCACCGTGATCTCAAGTCGAAGAATATCCTCGTGAAGACGAATGGTACATGCGCGATCGGCGATCTTGGATTGGCCGTCAGGCATGACGTAATTACAGACACCGTCGATATCCAGCTCAATAATCGGGTCGGCACCAAACGGTACATGGCACCCGAGGTAATTTAAAAGTAAAAACGCTGATCTACAATTCCGAAACGATTAATACGTTCGCCGGCTGGCTAATATTCATGAAGATGCACTCGTTTCGGAAAGCCTCATTCGAAATCAGTGACGGCTCGTAGCTGCAATTAGTGGGGGTGCTGCTTCAGAAAATGTTTAGCCTTTGTCTCAAAATGTTCGTAACTTTTCCACGAACTGGGGGACAGCTGCTGACATTAAGCTTAACGCATTGAACGCCGGCTAAATTTCAGCTACTAAAAACGCAAGCGTCGGTGATTATATTGATACATTCTTAAACATCGATTAAACCAAAATTTCCGACTTACGGAAGAGAATAAGGAATTCGATTTTGTAAATTTTACTTTGGATTTGTGTTATACATATCGAAAATGTTACATGAACGTAGGATTAGCAGTTAAACGATAGACTAAAAGTGTTAAGGATTATATATTGTACAAGTATAACGAAAGGATTAAAGAAAAAAGGACTCATTACTAAAGAACTACTTCGCGAGCAACGATGCTTTTCGACTACTCGAATGCTTTTATCAGACATACGAATCTTGTTGCTTAGTTTGATATAATTTGAAATTGCAAGTTAGGCGTGAATTATTTTTTAGACGTAAAAGAAGAGAAGTTAGGCTCGTGCATCGATGAAATCGCGTGGAGATCGCCCAGCGACTTGTTTCTCATGCTATTCATTTATTTATAGATTGGGAAATGCTTATAAGCTTGTTTATTTTTCGATACTTTGCGCGTTCGATCTTTCGGTCCGCGGTTAGATTCGTTTTACTTGTTCCCGACGATTGATGTTTCGAGAGGTACAAAAGTAATCGAGTCTTTAACTCGACGGGAAGAAACATTGTGACTGTAAAACGTTCCTTTCAACTTTTCGTAATTATTCGATGCCGGCGATCCTCGATTGTTTCGAGGCATTAAACTTCGCGAGATTTCCAAGACTCCCGCCGGACTTTTAAGCGATTCATTTATTTTTAAATTATTCAAGAGTTTCGAGAGCCGCAACGGCTGCTAGATTATTCGAGCGTTTCGAGATTTTCGAAACTTTTGTCGGAGGATTAACCCTTCTGTACCGTTCCGGTCGATTCGATCCGAAAATAGACATTTGTTTATTAATCAACCGCCCATTATACGTTGCGAATCGATTTATGAATAAATATATTCTCTTAATTGGACGTCAACTTTGAGCCAATTTCATTCATCGAATATTCATGCAACAATCAACCGAGAAATGTTCTTAAGGTTAAACACCGCGAAGCCATTCGAGTGTCCCAAAAATAAATCGTCCAAAGTTTCGAAAGGTTCGAACGATGAAACGTTTTCATAGCTTGATCGATTCGGGGTCATCGAAGTGTCCCCGATGGCAGGTAGTAAATAATCGCAACAGTCGCTTGTAACGTTTCTTTTTATTTAATTAACAGTTTTCTATTCCAGATACTTTTATACACGTTCAATCAACCGTACGTCTGGACAGACCAGATTTCCTTCCTATCAACTCAATGTTTTTAACACAATGTTTACCGTTCACGGGTTAACTCGTGTTTGCACTTGCATTAGCTATTTCAATTTTTGCGATATAGAGTATTGCAAATATTGCAAAAGCAGCATATTCAAAGTTACATAAAAGATATGTCCAAAGTCTCAGTTCAGTTCATTACGTATAAATAAAGTATATTGAAATTTATTTAGATTGTCTCACTTTCATATTTAATTAACTTTCACATTTAGTCAACTGTAATTCGTAGCGCAACCTAATTATAATCACCGTATCATACCGAAGTCTTTATCGTTAGCACTACCAAGCATTTAATATGATTGATATGTAATCCCTACAAAATTCTAATAAATTATTTTCCGTTTCTTTATACATTCATTATAGTATTCAAGTGAAACTATTTATTTCCAAAATCATTTCGAAAATTCAATGCTTTGAAGATATCAATAATTGCGAAATAAAAAACCGAACCAGTCATTTCGATTGATGCGTAGTTCTAGTGTAAAGTTTTTTGGTTCGATTATCCACATACGTGTTTGCCCTTTATGTCATACGCACTTCGTTTTCTAATCTTCCTTTTTGTTCCTTATACACTACCAAATAACGTTAGCCCTTTGCAAACGAGGATTTCTGAAATGATTGAATACTAGATGAAATATTATATCATATACTAGAACAGTAGAATTCCAAATGACAGCTTATCAGTATGATAACGTTCATTCTCAAAGGGTTAACCCGTTGACCGCCACGGTGGTCACCGATGACCGGAGCGTCCAAATGACTAGAAGAAAATTACAAGAAGAAAACTGTTTCGAATCAAAATAGTATAACTTAAGAACCATGATACCAAACTATTAACACTATTTCTGAAGTTTTCACTTAAAATTACTTTCCCAGTCAAATCATTTGACCTCCATTGAATTTTGGACATTTCCTACAATTACTTTCATAATCGTTACTAAAAAAGTTGAATAGTCAGTTGAGAATATACGACTAAACTCGGAAAATAATTTTAGTTTAAAAATTCCAAAGCTTTCCACACGTTCGGTAGAAATAGTGTTAATAACTAATTCTAGTATCATTTGCCTTTCTCGCGATACGATAAGTAATGTCACGCGAAACGCTCTAAATTTTGCCAGTCAACGTGTTAACCGTACAGACGAACAAACGAATGAACAAACCGTCACGATACGCGTATCGTTACGCACGCGCGTTCAAGATTGTGATTGAAAACTGAACGCGAACCGATCGCTGGCGGGCGAGCCCGCGGCGATGGCCGCGTTCGCGAAGCCTTCGAACCGCGGCCACGACTCCTTAGAATTGTCGGTTCTGCTTTCAGGTTCTCGAAGAGACGATAAACATGAGCCACTTTGATTCCTTCAAGAGGGCTGACGTGTACGCTCTCGGGCTGATCCTCTGGGAGATCGCCAGGCGGTGCAACGTCGGCGGAATCCACGACGAATATCAGTTACCGTTTTACGACCTGGTGCCTTCTGATCCGACGATCGAGGAGATACGTAAAGTTGTCTGCACCGACCGGCAAAGGCCGTCGATACCGAATCGGTGGCAGTCGATAGAGGTACGCGATCACGATCACGCGTCGACACCGAAGACCACTACCGAAAGTTCTCTACCATTAACACTAGAACTGCCAGTTGGGACAAAACGACACGATGATGAAAGGGCACACGTGATCTGAGAAATTATTCAATAAATCGAATCAGACAGACTAGAATACGAGCAAACGAAAATCTGAGTAAATGTTTTTGTCGATTTGATAGAGAAATACAAAAGTCAATGTCACTCGGTGGTTCTAGTGTTAACCCCTTGCCTTATAATATCGTGTCAGACTCGTGGTGAAGATTTAAAACGGAATTTAACAAACATAAATATTACTCAATTGTTGTGACTTTAAATGAAATATTCTTCCGTTATTAATTGTTATATACAGCAAAGGTGGGCGTAGAATATGCATGGAACTTTTCTCTTTTGCCCGTAAATTATTAATGACAAAGTTGTATCGATCACGGTTCAGAAATAGATTATAGCGCAAGGGGTTAACCTTCAGAGGACCACTATAAAATATTTACGTTTTAATATACATCAGTCTTTGGTTAAACTCCGGTAGGCTTTAGAGGCTAGGCACTCGCAAATAATCCACTTTTTCCAACTGTTTATGCACGCGTACAACGTTGAAGCGTCGTGGAAGTTGAAAGTTTTAGTCGAACGTGCCTTCGGTTTAAAGACGAATTACGCGACGGTCCAGTTTAACCGCAAAACTTCTTTCATCGTTGCAGGCACTGCAGGTGATGTCGAAGGTGATGAAGGAGTGCTGGTACCACAACGCGGCAGCTAGATTAACCGCGCTTAGGATTAAGAAGTCTCTCGGGAATTACGGCGCGACGGAGGACCTGAAGTAAACCGGAAGAAAGATAACGGAAGAAGAAACGAACAATCGAGAAAACAGCTGGTTGCCGACCGTCGAGACTAGGAATGAAAACGGTAGTGCTTAAGAACACGCATGGACACACTCGTACCGTAATGCTTATCGCAATAAAACGTTTTATGTGTCGTGTTACCACTTACGTGCGCGCGCAACAGAGAGAAATAGAAAGGAAGAAAGTGAGCGAGCGAGAAAGAGAGAAAGAGAGAGAGAGAGAGAGAAAGCGAGAAAGAAAGAAAGAGAGAGAGAGAGAGAGAGAAAGAGAGAGAATGAATAGACAGATAGGTGTAGCAAGAGGAAGAAAAAGAGACGCTGAACGGTTCCCGTGAATTTTAATATGAGAAGCAGAGAGCCTAACGATGAAAGACTGGTCGAGAAATCGAGACGACGTTCCTTTAACCGCGTTGATTTCGGGTCATACCCCCAAAAGAAAGAATCTTTAGTTACACGAGCTCGGAGCAAACTTGTTTTTCGTTGCGAACGTTTCACGAGAACGGTGTTGTCCATTTGTAAAAGCGCTAACGAAGTCTGGCGGATCGTCGAACGTTGCAGAATGATATTTGCCGGTCTTCACCCAGTGATGCGCGAGAAAAACGGCAGGAATCGTTCCGGCAGCGAACCCGACGAGGATCTAGCTGTCCGGTTCTATAATGTTCGGTTCATCGAGTAAAACGACGGGACGCCCGGTCGCGCGTCACACTACCGCTGTATATTTATTAAATAGTAATGGATAAGGATAATGAGGTATACAAATTGATTATAATAGCGACGTTTATTGAGTAATATTAAGGTGTAAACGATAAATTTGTACATTAATGTATACACACGTACAACACAGGCACACTCACGCTGAAAGAGAGAGAGAGAGGGACATATACAGACACACGTACACGTGTAATCGCGTATATTCGTAGCCGGGCGAACCGACCATTTCGATTAACCGAACCGTTGGCGCGATGTTATTTCATTCCAGTCGACGCGTCCGTTAATTAATTATGATTAATCGCGTCGGCCAATCGATAGAACGCGTTGCTGCCGGATAAACGAAACCGCCATTCGCGGTTCTCCGTTCACCGTGACGTTGGACGATTCGACGGGAACACGGCCTCGATCATCATAATTATTGTAATATACGATACATTCTCTTCTTCCTTTTTGTTTGCCTTTTGTTTTCGTACTTCTGCGAAACACGTGTAGAGAGCTCGTTAGTTTACCGGTGCATGCAGAGACTGGATCGTTTTTCATTCCGGGAGTATATACCATACTCACACCGTGTTACAAGAGAAATGCATATCTTCGTATCTCATTTATATGCGAGTACAAGGCTGCAGTTCGTCGATAGTATAAACATACAGGGTAGATAGGAAATGAGAAAAAGAGACGAGCAGCGGGATATGGCGAGCGCGGGCTTTCCTTTATCGTTCGAACAGAAACGACAGTTCTACTAATTCGCTTTTCGTGAAATCGGATCCGTTGCTTTTCGACCTGGATACGTAAATACCGGCGGAACCTCGACTATTCGAATTCATTCGGTCGTCGATTCGACTTTGGAATCGTGGAAACGCGGACAGCTATTTTTCATAGGGATTTTTATAACCGACTGAACGTAACGAACAACATTTTATGGCTGTTCCTCCACTGCCAATTAAGTGTTTATAACGTCTGTTTTATTGTTAGATGAAGTTAAGTAGTTCCATCGACTGAGATTAAAATACCATGTTTCAATCACAATTTCTAATCACAATCTTCTCTGGGTAGCTTCGTTTCCTACTTGATTGCGAACGCATCGGAACTAACACTTGCAGCTGATTTATTTTAAAAAGATTTTACCAATGGATATCCGTTTTTCTTATACAGTCATATTATGTGTAATTCATCCAAGTCTCTATAAACAGAACTGCAAAGGCACAGCGATAGGGAATTAATCGAATCGACTAAAGTGTGTACAGGATTTTCATACTGCAACTTTATAAGCTTTTTTATCATCGTTTTTATACATATTTCAATCGCTTACATTGATATAAGGAAGAGAAACCTCGAACAAAGTAGTAGGTAACTAAAAATCGACTAACGAACAAAGATGACCAGCTTAGACGAATAATAATAAACTTTTGAAACAAGGGTAGTTGGATGAACCAACGAATCGGTGATTGGGAAATCGAATAGTATCAAATAACTCTGAATAATCGAGGTTCCGCCGTACTCTTTTCCCGGCCATCAATTTTTCAGCACATGATTACCCACACAATGAAGTTTCTCGGCAACTTCCAGGCTTCATTTGTCGATCGTGTCTTTTTATACATAATACGTATTCTTAGTCTGTAGACATACCCAGATATTTTGCTCAAGACGAACTATTTTCGCGTGTTCACTGAACGCAGTGCGTCGCGATACGCGGGACTTGTTGGAGCGTGTTTCCTTTGTAACACAGGAAGGCTGAAATTGAAGGGTGCTAAGCTCAAGGATGATTGTAATACAGTTTCGCGTGTGCGAGAGAGGAAGGCCGTGTGTGTGCGTGGTTACGAAAGGAAGGAGCCGAGAGAGAAAGGAAAAAGAGATGAAGGAATGCGAAAAGAAAATTCATGGAGACACGAATGTGCGGGAGAGAATGCAAGAGAGACTGAGCTAGGAGAGAAAGCGAGGCAAACAGAATGCGAAAGAGATCGAGAAAACGAGCTGACGTGAAGAAACATTGGAGAAACTATATTTTCGGGAATTTTTTTTGCGGACGGAAGGAGACGATTCGGAAAATAAAATGATATACAACGCGTGCCTCGATTCGAACGACCTCGACCTTCGCCCCCACGTTTCTGCGAGTGATATTTTATACGTTCCCCATGGAATGTCCCAACTCTCGAGGCGAACGGTCCTGGGCGTTCCGACAAGTAGCAATGGGATCAAATTCTTCAAAGAAAACATATAAAATATCTCTCTTGTTTGCTCAATATTCGAAAACAAGTCTCAAATCATGCCCATCGATTAACACTAGATTCACAGAACGAGTCAATTTGACTCATATTGAATTTTATAAGCATTATTTGGTAAACATTTGGTTCGATTTTTATGAACGCAATTATGCAAACATGTATCCTAATTATCTACTCTTAAACCTCCAATTTCTAAGATCTAAATGAACGGATAACAATTTTTCTGAGAACAATAGAACAAACTACGGTAAATGTCAGTAAATCTAGTGTTAACGTTGAGGACCTAAGAAAACGGGCTGTAACGTTCGTTCCTCGTTTCTCTAACCGCATTTCACTTTACAAAGACGAACGATTATCAGCTGCAAAATTGTAAACCTCTAGAGAGTACATCTCTCTTGAAGCGTTTCTATGCCATCAGACAGAATTGTAAATGAACGGTTCTTCGTTATAGCTGCGATGAAATTTTTCGTCGCGAGACGCTTGGTCCCGTCGCTAACAACGAGGCACGCGTTCCAACGTGTGTTGCGGTCTCGCGCGACGAAAGGCAATCGCGGTGGACGTGGGGTTGCATGCGTTTTGCGCCGGGTATGCGAGAATTCGTATGGTATGTCTCTCTGCGAAGCTCGACCGTGTCCGGGGGACCGTTCCTGGGCCCGAGCCACGTGTTGTAATCGGTAACGTTACAATAAGCGGTTCACTTCCTCGGCGAAGCTGAATGCGTATCACGAGATATCGGCGGGTTAGATTCCGAGGAACGATAACGATCCACGAACGGGAACGAGTGAAAGGAACAAAGTCAGTGAGAAGAGAAGAGAAGAAAAGAGAAGAGAAGAGAAATCTTTGTCATCCAATAGTCAACGTAAAAGTCTGCGAACATACAATTATTACTATATAAAGGAACGGAGGGTCCTTCGAACCATATAATTGTATTTTTATATTGTTTTTTACCAACCGACGCCCGCCGGGCGTCTCTACTGATTTTTCTCTTCCGTTTTCTAAATGCTCGAACTACATTCGAAACCCAGCTGGCCGCGATCCATCCTCGATCGAACCCATTCGCTGCAGCCATTTTGTCGTGCGTCGGCTTGTGAATCGTATATACGATGCAGAGTGTGTATTCGTTATATATAGAAATTAATTCGACGTTTCTTTTTCAAAATTTTCCATCCATTTCAATGTTCAAGGTGTTCGATAACTTCGTTCCATCCTCGAACACACGTGTCAAGTTGAAATGGATTCACGATCGGTCGAATGAAAACAAAGAATCAATTTCTGATTAGATTACGAAACTGTTTGCACACGTTTTTAACTTCGTGGACGCCTGGGTCTATCTGGCTTTAGATTTATCAATTTGTCTATATAATTCTCTTAAACGTACTTCTCGAAAGTACGTTGATCTTCCTAAATCTAATAATCAATCAGCAACTTAAATAGAACGCGGATCATCGACATTAGAACTACCGAGTAGCTAAGAGTACGTCTATTAAGATTCTGATTGACTTAGAATTCTGCTATCTTTCCAATAATTCTACAAAAATTCAGAACCAGCTCATTTCGGCTCATCCGATAGTCCCAGTGTTAAATGAGGCTTCAGTCGAACAGATGTCAAAGCTTCATCATCGGTGAACACGTTGAATGCACGATTTCATAAAGCAAAATACACGAAATGCACAAAATGAAAGAAATACGATATTAAGCCGTCTGATTGAATTGCATTATTATTGCACGTTCTTCTAGCCGAATGTCACGAAGTTAACATTATTTGTAATATAGAAATGTTTCCGACTAATCGCCGTTTCATTGAGTGTAAACTATAGTAATTGAATTCAGCCACCGGTCCACGGCATTCAACGTGTCGATCAACGCGTGACGCAGCGAATCGGTTGGATCAGCGTGAAATCGCGTGACGTACGAAATCGAAATTCGTATCCAGACGAATCCATTGAATCACGTGTCCGCGCCTTCGCCCTCGGCGTTCCCCGATGAGATTCTCCGACGCAATGGTTCCCCGCGCCGCCGACCGTCCGCGTGCACGTCCCCGTCGCGAAATATATCGCAGATACTGCAACCCACCAAAAGACTGAGCGATCTTAAATGTTCGACTAAGTAGGTAAATAATCGAAAGTTAAATAGCCGACCGGCGGTCTGTACGACCGGCGGCCATTCTTTTTAATGGATCAACGCCTCGCTCGGGGGCACGATGTCACACGGACACAGACACGTTACACACACATGCATACACACAGGTGTCGTCGTTTCCCCCGGCCGGTTTTTCTCGTACATTCCTATTACGACGTAGGTTAATTTTACGATACGTACACATACGATATAGTTAACGCCGTCGACGAGGTTTCACGGACTCAGCTTAGAAGCGATCCAGAGATGTCTAAAGAAACTGTTTAACGCGTCCGCTACCAGCGTCGCATATCTGTGACAACTGTAATCCTATATTTTACATACTGAAAATGAAATTAATCCTCTAGATATTGTTATTAGAAATTACAAACTACGACATTATATTTAGAAACCTCATGACTCGTTTTAGTTTCATCGTTCTAATATTTTGTTCAGATTTATTGGATCGAAGGAAATATAATTGAGAAGGCTATCACTGAAATAAGCGCTGGTAGCGAACGTGTTGAAGCACGGGTGTCCAGCTTTGTCTTGTTTACGATGCATTTCTCGCGTCCAAGCTTATGGCTCAAAAGTGAAGAGGAGCAAGGGGAGACGTCCACTCGCGCTCGATCTAATGGCGAAATTAGTTTCGGCATATCTTTGCTACCGAGCTGGAGTGGATCAAATTCCTTTGGCTTTTTTCACTTTCGAGCAACAAACCGGCTTGGTTCACGAGTAACGCACTGCAGGCCGCGTTGAGAGGAAAGAAAGCTGTCTTGGTCCGCGTGTAACAAGCGTTCGCAAAGGTTTCCAGGACCTTTCGCTTTTGTCGATCGAATCTGCGGTGCCTGTATGTAGTACTGAGTGGCTTATATGTAATTACGTATAAACTGTATGACCTCGCGAGGTTTCAATATCACTTATCGCAGGCCACACGCTGGGCATGCCTGGTTTAGAGAAACGTCCAATTCGAATTTCCACGAAAATCACGGATTGGATTCATTTCCCAACGGTGTGAGTCGAATGCAATTCCATTGTGTACTGGCATCGAACGTCTCGCTGTTCGATTGTCAACGCATTTTCGTGTTCGACGACGAGTAGTCGGACGCCAACCGTGAAACAGCGTCGGCAATCATGTCCCGCAGGTATTTCCATATTAACTAGTACAATTTTGTGCCAATAACAGATCGAATGTTAACTAAAGCGAGAGACCAGTTATGATAATATACAGAGTATTCTCACAAGCATACACGTACACGTTCTCACGTATTAACACGTCATCCGGGGGAAAAATATCTTTCACGCGCGTCCCTCGGACTTGTACCTGAAACGCTTCTACTGGAATCGTCTGCGTTTCTTGCCGCGCCAGATCCCGTGAAACGAGCTTCGTTTCTAAACGATCGCAACGGATAACGATTGATCCTTCCGCGACGGACTATCCCCGGGGACATCGTTAAACGTTGAGAAAATCAGCGTGCATTGAAAATAGAAATATCGACGTCGTGTTGACACTTCGCGCACCGGTTAATTTTCGGAAAACTGAATTGCGACTGGCAATTTTCAGTGAGATCAATTCACATCAGTATACGTAGAGAAACTCAGATATATTGTTATGTAATATATTTCAAATAGATAATCAATTCGAATCAAATTGAATATTCCTTTAAATGCTCTGGTAATTAGCAAAGTTGCACAGCTAAGTGTCTTTATTGAAAACGAGATTTCTCGTTACCAGTAGGCAATGCGTTAAAAGTCGCAAGCAACACGTTTCAATTTCTGTAACCGAAGAAATGATTTCCGACGACCTCAGACGTAACGTCAACGTCATAAGCTAATGCCTCTTAGCTGAAGTAATGTCTGACCGAAATTTTCTGTTTCAATCCGTATCAGATTTCAACCAGCAGGCAAAATTACCGTGGCATCTTGCGAACCGATTATAAAGAGACTCTCGTCGAAGATGAACGACTCGCGCTCGATGTAAGTGATCGTCGTATACGAACGCGCAGCCTCGAAAGATATTTTTCCTCCCGTGGCTGAATATCATATCTACCGCCGTCACATTTCCAGGCGACGTCACGCGCGCCGCTCGTATTCCCCCCGAAGGTCGGCGGCGCTCGAGCCGAGGTCGAAGGGCACAACCACCGTCACCTAGGTTTCGAAGCACAGAACAGTCTGACTCATATCCGACGAATGCCGAACTGCCAAATAATATATTTCATCCCTCTATAGCTCTTCTTCGCTCCCTTACGGTGTAAGCCCCACTTGTACAAACAGAATACGTGAAAAGAAAACAAACAAACAAACAAACAAACAAACAAACAAAAAAAAAGTGAGTAAAAGGAAGAAAGGCGTGCGTGAAACGATGATGACGCGCCCCGAGCACTCGTGGCGCGTGTATACCTGCGTCGTGTTTAGAAAGCGAGAAACCTGTACCTTTCGAGGCGACGCGACGTCGCGCGTCGTCTGCTTTTAGTTTAGAAACGGGACAAAGAAAATAGAAGGAAAACGAAAAAAGAAAAAAACGAGAGACGCGCGTTTGGCTTTCCGTTCGCTTAACCGCGGAAATGCTCGGACGCGCGGCCGGGATATCCGGGGCGTTGCGTTGCTTCGACACGCGGGATCTAAGCACGCGCCGATTCACTGATCGATTCCTCAATACCCCGGGAAACCACTCTTTTGTTCTGGTCTTAATCAGTTCACTGTGTTCGGCGAGTATACACGTCACCTTGATACCCAGAGTAATGCTAATTTCCTCGGCAATTTATTTATTTGTTCAAATAAACGTGTGATGCTCGTTCATTTTGTGTTGGTTCTTTAGTTTGACGATACATTCTCCCTGCGTTCGACGTATATACCCGTCGTCGGTTCATTCTGTTACGCTCAATGAGGGATTTGGGAAATTCCACAGTTGACTGGTTAATCGAGACAGAGGCGAGAAGAATATAATCAGGATGTCGGTCATTCTTGAGTTATAATTGGACCAAAGTCAAAAACAAGGTATTTACGATTCAGTTCAAAGCGTAAAAGAGTAATTTTCAAGAAATTGATCTTAAAATGTTGATCGATGTCCTTTTTCACGTTGATAGCATCATTTCATGTTTGATTTCCGTATTTGGGATCGGTACGTTACTCGACGCGTGAACGACACATTTTAGAATGTTAACTGTAATTTTTAAGAGTTTAGCAAGCCGCCGTTGAAGCCACGCAGCGGTCCCGGTTGCTTTTAGGATTACGTTGTGCACCAACCATTGCACGTTAGTCAGCGATCGCTAAGTATTATATTAGCGAAGTTCTTTTAACGATCGGATTTGTTTTACAATTAATTGGCATGTACCTTGCGAATGGGAATTTGTTCTTCGGTTTCCTGTTTCTTTTTTTTTTCTCATTTGTCGAGTCGCTTGCCACCGTCGACGTACGCTGTCGACAAATTTCGGATCACGCTACGAACTGGAATAAACCGAGATTCGTTTGCCGAGGGTAAACAATTGTAAATAATTGTGCGAATTTACAGCAGTCGGCAATTGAGCATTTTCATGGTGTTAATACGTGAACCATATGTACATTTTGGATTTACGAAGAAGATTATCGCGCGAACATGGCTTCCGCGAGATTCCGTCGAGTGATTTCGAACTTCTGGCTGACAGTGTATTTGTGATAGTCACCATTTTGTAGTTTTGTGACGAGAAAGCTAAACGAAGTTCGTTTGTCGCATGATCCTCGAAGAGCTTTCGTTTCCTCGTGTTTGCCGCCGCCATTTTCTTTCTGAATCGTTCATAGACCAGTGAAACAGCCTATTGAATTCCGTGTTTAATCGTGTTTAAAAATATGCGAAAATGATAGGTAAATACTCTACACTGACACGAGCATCGTTCGGCTTTTTTTATGTACACTGCTGGCCAAAAGTTCGAAATCACGAGGCGATTTGAAAGAAATCGTGATTTCCTCGTTAAACAATTGAATTCAGGTTGCAAATTATGATATTCCTAAGAAAGGAATTAAGAAATAAGAAATTTAACGATCATTGTTAGGATTCTGGTTATAAAATCGATTAATTGATCGCAGAGTCGTCGAGTGATCCCATAATTCTTAGTCGGCAGCGTACGCCGATGGCGAGCGTTCTACGATAACCGAGATTCGAACAATCTTCTGAGATTCTTATTGTTTTAAGTGCGCAACATTCAAATCCATTTTAAATCGTTTCAAATTCGATTCTGATAGTCGCGTTACATATTTTTCTCGCGTTCCGACCGAGTTCTTTCCTTTCCTTTCGTTTCCGTTTCCCCCCTTTGGCGTTTCCCTCTATTCTGCGTAAGTTTCTTTTGCAGGGAGCTATAATAAACGCATACTGTCCTCCACGGCGCTTCGTCGTTCATTTAGAACGAGTACCCACCATTAATTATTAACGTGCCGCGAATGTTTACGCAGATTTCGATAATCTTTTGTATTCTTCGAACTTGAGAGTCGCGCGAAAGATACTTTCGAGATTTAAAAAGACACTTCGCTGCCGTCGCTTTCAAGTGGAATCATATTTAATCTTTCTTTTAATTTCTCTTGGCATTATACTCATAACCTTCCTTCAAATTTGAAGCTAATATTTGTGAACGATCATTTTCGAAACTCCACACTGTGAAATAGTATTCATGGAACTCTTTCTACGATTTCTATTTAACACTAGAACTGCCGAGCATATAATACGATTAATATGCAATTCCCGTAAAAATTGTAACAATAGATTATTTTCAATTTCTCCAGACATTCATTATAGTACTCAAATGAATCTATTTATTTGCAAAATCATTTCGAAGATATCAATAATTGCTAAACAAAAAAATCGAAACCAGTCATTTTGATTGGTACGTAGTCCTAGTGTTAATCGCGTTTTCGATTATCCGCAAAAACATTCGTGGTCTAATTATTAATAACGATGTAATGTTATTCTTAATTATTGTATTACCATTGTCGTAGACGCAAGATCCTTTTGTTTTTATCTGTCTTTTCTTTATCCCCGGTGTATTATACCCTGTACATAACGGTGTAAATGTTTATCGACGATTTACATACGATAGGACGAGCACTTGTAATTTTCGTAACGAT